ACAGAGAGTGAGAAGGGAATTAGTCACAGGTGAATTGAACTCGTAAATGCTGAGTCTTTGTGAGGAAAGTCACTGGAGAAGAAAGGGGAGGGAGAGAGGGGGCTCTGAAGACTGGGGAGAGAAATCATTAACAATATGGGATTCCTACACTCATGTGCTGGCGTTTACCTAGAACAGCCTGCCTGGAACAGAATGGAGCTCTCCGGGCAAATCAGCCAGCAGAGGCAGTTTATTCTATCAGTCCAAGGGTTCCTCCCCTCAGCCTTACAAAGCAGCTAGTGCTGGGAATTTTAGCCTTACAACATGGGATGCTAGAACATAGAATGGTAGAGCCCTGATGCTTAGAACCTTAGAACATAAAGCATTGAATGCCAGAGCTAGAAAGATCCTTGGAACACAGAAAATGAAACATAGAAATTTAAAGCTAAGAGGAATCCTAGAACCCAGAATGGATGGGACTTTAGATGGAATATTAAAACAGCCCTTCCATTTCTAAATCTAAGATCTAAGGGATAGAAGGAACTAGAGAAAGTAGGATTTTAGAACTAGATTAGGACCTAGAACAGCAGAACATGAGAGAACCCTCAGGATCTTTTTAGTCTAACCCCCTAGTTTGACAAGTGAGGTAATTGAGGCCCAGAGAGGTTAGTTAATTTCCTTACCCCAGTTCCTGTCCTCTCTAATTTCCTCCCCTCTGTCCATGTCCCTAACACATACAGTGGGTTTGTTAATATCTTCCCTGATAGGAAATGATTAATTCAAATTGAACGATGATTCATGATAACATAGCACTCAAGTCAAAAAGAGCAACTGACGTAAAAATCAGTCCTATTTATTAGCCTTTTACATTCCGCTATCAGGCTCAGACACACACATGGCCCCTCAGTGCCCAGCCCCAACTCCCTTAACACTTACTGGTTGCCTAAGGGACTCAGGTGAGTGGGAGAGGGGTGGTGGCCCTGGGTAATTAAGAGTTCCACTGTCTATGCACATTCCTGCTGCTGGTTGATCACTAGATGGGATACCTGGTCATTTACTAGACAGGTAAGAGTCAGGAGACCAGAGTTCTTATCAGTCTCCCACTGGGGTGATCTTGGGCAGGTCACTTAAATTCAACCTTTCTGACCCACAGTTTCTTTACTTGTAAAATGGGCATAATACTTGTACCATCCACCTCACAGGGTTGTGAAGATCCTATGAAACTGAGTAGATAAAGGCTGTTGTTGACCCTGAAATGGGACCTAAAGTCAGCTGTTATTATTGTCACCCATCCCTTGAAGTCCTGCTCTGGTACTGTGGCATGGCATGGCATAGGGATGTCTCTGGGAACTCAACTCCAGTGTGTCCTCCAGAGATGGAAGGTCAGGGCCCAGCACTGGCCTCGTGTCTGTTGTTTGAGAGGAATCCAACTTAAATGCCAAGAGGCTCAGTACCAAAATGTCAGCTGTGAAGTGATGATTTTCTTTTCGGAAGGAAGGAAAGAAGCATTTAGTAAGTGCCTACTATGCTCCAGGCGCTGTGATAAGCACTTGAGAAATCATATCTCATTTGATCCTCGCCACAGCCACAGGAGCCAGGTGTTATTAATAACTCATTTTATAATTGGGGAAACTGAGGCACACAAGGGTTAAATGACTTGCCCAGTAAGTATCTGAGGTCACATTTGAACTCAGGTCTCCTTGACTCCAGCCAGGCTTAGCTCTGTATCTACTGCCTCAACTAGCTGTCTCTAGGCAGCTGGCCTTTTGGGCCAGAGCAACTTGTGAAAACTTACTAAAGCATAGAGGGGCTACAATGAGGGATTCCTCACTCTGAGAAATTTACGGGCCCTTGAATCAATCAATGGGACAGCTAAGTGATGCAGTGGATAGAGCAATGGACCTGAAGTCAGAAGACCTGAGTTCAAATGTGGCCTCAGACACTTGCTAGCTGTGTGACCCTGGGCAAGTCACTTAACCCTATTTGTCTCAGTTTCCTCATCTGTAAAAATGAGCTAAAGAAAAAAATGGCAAACCACTCCAATATCTTTACCAACAAAACTCCAAATGGGGTCATGAAGAATTGGACATGATTGGAAACTAAACAATGAATCAACAAACATTTATTATGTACTGTGTGTCAGCTGCTATGAAACAATCTGTGTTCTGGAGTTTATATTCCATTTAGAAGACAGACATAATAATAACAACAACAATAATGATTAGCATTTAACAGTGTTTTCAGGTTCGCAAAGCACTTTACAAATATGATCTCATTTTATCCTCATAACAGCCCTAAGAAGTAGGTGCTATTATGATCCCCATTTTATAGATGAGGAAACTGAGGCAGACAGAGGTCATGAGATTTGTTCTGGGCCACAAAGCTCAATAAAGGTCTGAGGCTTGATTTGAAGTTAGGACTTACTGACTCCAGGCTCAGCCCTCTATCCACTGGGCCACCTATATATAAGCAGAGGGACTGGATGTGTGGTTTTATTGCTATGGTCCCTCCACCAGTGCGGGTCTACACCTTCTCTGCAACCCCAGAGAATTCCTTGGGGCTCTGAGAGTGACTTAGTCAATATAATCAGAGGCAGGATTGGAACTGGGTCTTCCTGGCTTCCAGACCAGCTCACCTGGCTGCCTCTTATACATATATTAGTGGTTAGAAAGAGATCCAAAGTAATTTGGGAGAAGGCATTAGTAGTAGAGGGGCATCAGGAAAGGCCTCATGTGGAAGGTGCTGCTGGATTCTAACATGCAGAGGTGAGGAGAGTCAGTGCATTCCAAGTAGGGGGATCACCAGTCAGTCGACAAGCATTTAAGATGTGGTGAAGGGAGATGGCACATCGTGTGTGCCAATATGTTGGGGCTTGAAAGACTGTACCCACAAGTCGCCTCTGAGAAAGGTACTAAAGACTGGGGCCAGGTGGCGAAAGCTTTGAATACCAAACAGAGGAGTGTGTATTTGATCTTAGAGGAAAGAGGAAGACAGGGAAGTTTATTAACTAGGAGAGTGACATACTCAGACCTGTAGTGAAGGAAAATCACTGGAGTGACTTGAAACTTTGAAGCATTCTACTTCCTTTTATTACAACCAATATCTCAATTTATTTTGCCTAGATGGGCAGTGTGCCATAGTGGAAAGAGCACTGGACTTGGAATCAAAAGATCTGGACTCGAATCAGTCAACCAATGATTATTTATTCAGCACCTACTATGTGCCAGGCAATGGAGATGCAAAAGACAGTCTCTGCCCTTAGACACTTAATAGATAGCGACTATAAGGCTTAATTTATCTGGGCCTTCATCTCCTTTTCTCTAAAAGGCCTAATACCTGCACGGCTGAGCTCTCTGGGTTTTGTAAGGTGTGTCTCGGGTGGCAGAGTGAACAGAGAACAGAATTTAGAGGTCAAAGACGTGGGTTCAAACTTCGCCTCCCATGCTTATTAGGTGTGTAGTCATGGAAAAGTTACTGAGCCTCAGTTTCCTCTTTCAAAAAATGGCTGTTCCTACCTCAGAGTTGTTCTGAGGCTCAAATAAGAGAATATGTGAAAAATATTTGGCAAATGTCAAATAGCTGTATAAATGTCAGTCTTTATTGGATTGTGCTTTTTCTTTTTTCATTCGATCCTCACAACAACCCTGTAAGGTAGATGCTATTATTATCCCCATTTTCAGCTGAGGAAACTGAGGCAGAGGTGAAGTGAATTGTTTGAAGATTAATGGAACGATGGGCAGGGATCAAGCTAACTTTCCGTACTTCCACAGGTCTTTAGAGCTAAAGCTGGAAGGCACCTAGAAGGCTGTCTAGTCTAATCCTATAATTTTACAGAAAAGGAAATTGAGGCCCAGGGAGATGAATTAACTTTCCCAAGGTCACACACAGATAGTGTCAGAAATGGGATTGGAACCCAATCAAATAAGCAGTTTAAAGTCTGTACTTTGTGCCAAGCACTTTGCTAACACTAGAGATGCAAGTATAAACCTGAGCTGGTCCTGACCCTTAGCTGGCTCCTAGTCTATCAAATGTTAAGAATGAATACTATCCACTGAAGCCTTTTGAGATGTTTTGCCATTTACTTTAGGGAGAGAGAGAGAGAGAGAGAGAGAGAGAGAGAGAGAAGCAGGGGAAAGTGGGGAAGGGGAGGAAAGGGGAGAGAGAAAAGGATAGAAGGGGAAAGAGGAGAGGGGAGAGGGGGAAAAGGGGGAGAGGGGAAAGAAAGAACAGAAGAAGGAGACGGAGCAAAAGGGAGAGAAAAGGAGAGAGGAAAGAGTGAAGGGGAGAAAGGAAACTGGGAGAAAGGAAAGAGGGAAGGTAGGAAAAAGGGAAAAGAAAAAGTAGAGAGGGAAAAAGAGAAGAAAGGGGCAGAAAAGAAGGGAGAGAGATGAAATGAGGAGAGAAGAGAGGGGAAAAGGCAAAAGGGGGAGAGAGGGAAAAGGAGAGAAAGGAAAGAAAGGCGGACCAAGAGAACAAAGGAAGGAAAGTCGAGGGAAGAAGAATACAAAGAGAAAGGAGACAAAAAGAGCGATAATTCCGAGAAACATCCCTGCCCAGAGAGACGGGGAAGGGAGGTGGGGGAGGGGAGAGGCAGGTGCTTCTGTGGGTGTCTCCGAGACACACCTTGGTTGCTCGGTCCCAGAGGGGAGGAGCTCTCAGTTGTGGTTCACGTCGACCACTGCTCCAGTGGCTGGGGGCGGGTGTTGATTCCACCCCCCGAGGGGCCGGGGCCAGGACAGTCCCGGGGATGAGGGTAAGGGCTGTTCGCGGGAATCCAGATCGCTCCCTCTCTTCTCTTTTCTCGGGAGGGGCACAGTCCCAGCTCCCAGCTGCCCACATAGCTGGCGGGCCACCACGCAGCTCTGGCCGTCTGGCTCTCCTGCCCTGCTGCTGCCGGGGCTAATGTGACATCAGCATTCCCGCAGGTGAGTCAGTGGCGGAACCTGCCGTGCGGGTCGGACGTCCTATAAAAAGCAGCAGGGCACGGCTCTCCTCGGCGCACACGCCTCGGGATCCCGGCCGCTCCGGGAGGCTCCGGCCCGGCACCCGCTGCTCCTCTCTCCTTCCTTCCTCCCTCCCTCCCTCCCCGGGTCTCCCGTCCTCGCTGAGCATGGCCCGGCCGCCGGTGCTGGCGTTGCTCCTGGCGGCGGCGGCGGCGGCTGGCTGGACGGCGGCGCAGAACTGCACCTGCCTCACCAACAAGTGGACCGTCTGCAACCCGACGGGCTCCGGGGGCGGCTGTCAGTGCACGGTGTTGGGCTCCAGCCACGTGGCGGACTGCAGCACCCTGACGTCCAAGTGCCTGCTCATGCGCGCGCGCACGAGCCCGCACAAAGCGCGCAAGCTCATCGAGCCCGGCGAGCGCGCGGTGGTGGACAACGACGGTCTGTACAGCCCGGACTGCGACGGCTGGGGCCGCTTCAAGGCCCGCCAGTGCAACGGCAGCGACGTGTGCTGGTGCGTCAACTCGGTGGGCGTGCGGCGGACCGACAAGGGGGACCGCACGCTGCAGTGCGACGAGCTGGTGCGCACCAGCTACATCCTCATCAACCTGCGGCACGGGGCGCGCTCCCCCGCCTTCAACCGCTCCGAGCTGGCCCGGGCCCTGCGGCGCCTCTTCCGCGAGCGCTACCGGCTGAGCCCCGAGTACGTCACGGCCGTGGAGTACGAGCGCCCCACCATCCAGATCGAGCTGCGGCAGAACGCCTCGCAGAAGGCCCGCGGCGAGGTGGACATCGCCGACGTGGCCTATTACTTCGAGAGGGATGTCAAGGGGGAGTCTGTGTTTCACAACCCGCACCTCGGCCTCGAGCTCCGAGGGGAGCCCCTGCGAGTGGAGGACACGATGATTTACTACGTGGACGACAAGCCCCCCCAGTTCTCCATGAAGAGGATGACTGCCGGGCTGATCGCTGTCGTGGCGGTGGTGGCGCTGGCCATCGTGGCCGGCATCGTGGTCCTGGTCATCAGCAACAAGAGGAAGTCAGGCAAATACGAGAAGGTAGAAATCAAGGAAATGGGCGACATGAACAAGCAGCTCGACTCGTAAGGACCGGACCTGTTTGCGAGGATGCCGGGGAGGGGGATGGGAGGAGAGAGGGAAGCTTCGCGGCGAAACAGCCTCCTCCCTCTGGAACAGCAATTGGGTGCGCCTGATCCTCGGCTCTCCAGTTTCTTGGAAGGACTGAGACTTTCCCTGCTGCCACCCCGCCCCTCCCCCCCAAAAAAGAATCTTTGGGTTAGAAGGAAACGTATGGAGAAACTGAGGGCCAGGAAGACATGACAAAGCCCGTCTAACATTTATGCTCTAAGCTTCCTTCTAGCTCTGACAGTCTGTGTTTCATGTTCACGTCCTATTCAATTCTAACATTCTTAGGTTCTATGTTCTAAGGTCCCTTTCAACTCTGACGGCCCACGTTCCATGATCTAACATCCTGTGTTCTAAAATATCTTCTGGCACTTCAGATTCTGTTCTATGTAGGATTCTCTGTTCTAAGCTTCCTTCCTTACAATGCTAACATTCTAATTAGAGGTACAATTGGGACTAAAGCCTTGGCCACCTTCCTTTACCTGGTCTCCTAGCCCTTTCCACTTTACCATATTCTTTGGTCTCAGTCCCGTTTGTCTGCCTTCGTGTCCTAGCTATGTGGCCCTGGACAACTTACTTAATTTTTCTGAGCCTTTGTTTATTCATCTGTAAATTGGAGGTTAAAAAAAAAACAACAACAAAACACCTACCTCCTAGGGGTGTTGTGACTGTCGAGGGAAATAATGTATATAAAGCAAATGCTCTGTAAATGTTAGATGTTAACCCTAAGGAAAAGAATCTGCAAAACAACCCAATCATTTCAGTCCTAGGACAGAAATATGACTCTGAAAACTAGGAACTAGTAGGAACCAGAAAGGGTGGAGTGGGTTTCTATTGAATGTCCATTTGGGTGCTTAAGTCTTCCCACTTGATGACTTCTATTTATTACGTCTTGGTAGCATCTGAAAGTGTTGTAAAGAGGTTTGCCAAATCGTAAATGAATTTGATTGGGCCGAAGCACTTAGGGTTTAGGCTAATTTCATTATCTCCCCAAGTTAAAAACAAACAATGAGCATCTTCTAAATTTCTCACTTTGTATAATGGCGTTCACCATGGGGCAAGGATTTGGTTCTCTGTAATGTACTCATTTGCGGCTGTTTATCTTACTAGCTGGGTCCCCATCCATCCTGTTACATTGGTCTGAAATGCATTTTCCATGACTTGGTTTTGAGGGGGCCTCTGTATCTGCTCCTCCATGCTTCTGTATAGCTCGTTAATATTACTACCTGTTATTGTTACGCTTAGCTCGCTAGTCTATTTTGCAAAATGTGTGTGTGTTGTCTTTGATGTCAGAATTTTTATAAGCTGTTGGATTTAATAAAACATGAAGAAAACCCATAAAACAGTGAAAGGCCTTTGTGACTTCTCCATCCACTTTCCCAAAGACTGCTCAGGTTTACTGTTTAAAATACTCAGGGGGATCTTGGCTGAGGCAAGGATTCCAAAGTGTCCTCTTTCTTCTTGGAATTGTCTGCGACTACAGCACAAAACTGGGAGATGCCTCACCTTAGCACCCATCTAGTACACTCTGCTTATTTTACAAGTGAAGAAACTGAGGCCCAGATTTGCCCAAGGTCACAAAGCCAGTAATCCAGGACTGGGCAGAGCTGAGATTCCAAACTAACTCTTCTGGCTCTAAACCCATTGCTGATGTCTCTGAGCCCCGGGGGTGCCTTTGATCCTGTGCTGTTGAGGTTCTGGGTTCAAAGCCACAACCTTGTGGAAGCCACTCTCCTAGGTTTCCATTCCCCTGGGGAGGACTGCTTTAATACCAGGTACTAGAGGTGGGGTCAGAAGAATGCAGACCGTTCTCTGGTCTCTGGGAAGTTTCTAAGCTTTGTCATTAAATAAGAATTCGGTAGGAGTCATCGCTACTGCTGAAGGGTGGAGGAAGGGGGAAACCCAGCTGCTGGGACCTTTTAGCCCAGCCTAGCCCTCTTCCCCCCACTCCTACCTACTGGCTGAGGTTAATCACCTGTGAACCCATTTGACTTCCTCCTCTTTTTTCCCCTCTTCTTTTTCCTCTCTTTACTATCCTCTTCTTTCTCTCCTCCTTTGTCCTTCTTTCCCACCTTCCCCTTTTTGTCTTCCTTTTCTCCTCCATCCTACTACCTATCTTACCTTTCTCAACCTCCTCCCCCTCCCATAAATCTCGTATTCTAACTCCCAGCTTTTCTTCCTACTCCAGGATTCCAAACTTTTGTCTAGAAGGGCCTCAAGCATTTAGGTGTGTCTTTTTTAGCACTTTTTCTGACCAGGCTGGGCTAGTTGGTGAAATGGGTGGGCGGGGGAGGTAGGGGGCCCTACTCTGCTCTTTGAAGTGGGTATTCAAGAGTTTCTCGAAGCTTGAAACTGACTCACACCCAGTTAAGTTTTCCTTACTGCCTTGAGGGAATGTATTTGTTTGTGTATTACATAAATACACAAATGCTTCTGTGACCCTACCCTCTAGGGTGGGGAAAGTCTCTGGTGAAGTAGGGTGGAGGGAGTCAAATTTAAAATCTTGCTGCCTTCCTGAGTACTGGGCCTTACTGTAATTTGCAGTCTGGAAAAGTGAAGTGAGACTCAGTGACTCAGTGAAAAAAAAATGTTGGACTTGTCTTCTGGAAAGAGCTGGGTTCAAATTCTGACACTCGTCACTTATTTGTGGGGTGAGCCTGGACTAGACCCTTAACCTCTTCTGTAAAATGAGCATGATCACATTTGCATTGCCCAGTCTCCTAGGGTTAAGAGGAAGAAAAGGATTTGTAAACTATAAGGCTCTCCAGAAATCTTAATCATTATTAGAATTAAAGTGCAATGTATAACATATCAGATTTTTTTACTATCTCAGGGAGAGGGGCAGGAAAAGGATAGAATTTGGAACTCAAAACATAAAAAAAGCACAAACGTTAAAAATTGTTTTTACATGTTAGTTGGGGAAAAATAAAATTTTATTAAAAAAAAAAAAGAATTAAAGTGTAGTTGGCCCACAGTGGAAAGGACAAGCAATGAGGAAGCTAAGAAGGTTTGGCAGGGCTGGCCAAGTCTGAGAACTTGAGTCTGTCAGGAGAATGTGAGAAGGAGCCTGGGATTCCCATGGGGGTTTTCAAATTCACTAAGTTATTTTTCCTTCTGCCTAGAAGTTCTCCTGAAATCCCTGAGCCAGGAGGGATGTTGAATGCAAAGCCAATGAGGTCGTGGGGCATAATGAGGAGAGTGCTGGCTTTAGGCTCAGATCTGGGCTCTAGTTGGTGTTGGCCAGTTCACTGTGTGAATGTGTGTCTTCAAGAAAGAATGGGAGTGAAGAAGGGGTTAAAACTGAGTTGTATTATTTCCTGGGCCAACCTCAGGCAAGGTTCATTTTTCAGGGCCTCAGTTTCCTCAAGGCGTTGGACCAGATAATGACCAAAGTCCCTTCCGTCTCAAAGTTCAAACACCCCAAGTTATGTCATCCCTCTAGGCCTCAGTTTCTTCAAGCGTAAAATGATGAGGTTGGACAAGATATCCTTAAAGGTTCCTGCCACCTCTATGACCACAATCCTGTGTGCTGTTAGGGGAGCATTGTCTGAGCCTAGCCCTGAGCCCACTACATTACTAATTAACAACAACAACATATATTACCTTTCCTGTAGGGTTGTGGTGAGGGAAACATTTTGTGAACTTTGCAGTAATATAGAAACATGAGTGGTTGCTCTTTTAGGGAAACTAAGGCCAAGAGGGGCAAATGACTTTGTGCTGGGCCCACAGCTGATGGCGAGTCCACTAGGCACCATCCAGTTAGGATTCATTGCGCCATATGGTTTCTCTTTGAGCCCACTTTCCAAACCCATGAGTCACCTGCCTTATGATTAGCAAATGAGGTAATGTATATAAAGTGCTTTAGAATAATAAGGTACCATCCTAAGTGAGATATTAAATAACGATAAAGCAATAAAAAGGTGAGAGATGGAACTGAGAAAGAGAAATGTTGCACCTCTTCTGCTACTTTTTTCCTCCCCTAATTGAAGGTTCTTTTATGTTTCCTTAAGGACTCCAGGACAAATACTTGTACTGGTCTGAAAATAAACTGTGCTTTCCCACAAAATCCTTCTTGGAGAAAATTCCAGTGTGCCCCAGAACGTGTCTTTTTTTTTTTTTTTTCCAGTTTTTGCCTGTATATAAATTTTCCCTTTCAGACAAATCTCATTTTGTGAGGTGTGGCTTGTATATATTCAGAAAGATACAATATTTACTTATCTCTCCACTAGGCAGAGATTACCTTAGGCACTCTCACCCACAGTTTTGGAGATACTTCTTACTCAATTTCTCTAGGGAGAGATAAGTGTCTCAGGTTTCGGGTTTTAAGTACTTAGGCTGAACAGGTCTATGACCAAAGATGGGGAACCCCAGAACTTGAGTATCTACAAGGGTCTAACTACCAGCTTCCCGACACAGAAAAATGTCCTAAGAAGGAGGTAACCTTATTCATGGCCCTGAGACAGCCTGAAGGGGAGTGTTGTCAGGGGACTGTCAGTCAGGTGTGGTTCTCCGACAAGCCACAACTTGTCCACCAAGAGGATCCTTTCAAAGAACTGACTGCCTTTTGTTTATTTATTTTTTATTACCAGGTCACAAGTGATTCCTTCATGCTGAGTCTTTAAAATACCAACTTTTTTTTTCATTAAACAATTACTTTTTTCTTCTTTGCTGTTTTTTGCCCACAGGGTTATTTCACCAACTAACTGCATCCCTCACCCCCCCATCACCCCAACTCCCACTTGCATCCAGTATTCAAGAAGGTCGCTCATCCTTTGGGGTTGAAAATACTTAGCGAGGTCACTCGAGGTAGTCCATTTCTTTTTTATATAGCTGTAATTCTTAGGAAAGGGGCAGCTAGGTGGCAAAGTAGATGGAACAATGGACCAGAAGGCAGGAAGATTCATCTTCCTGAGTTCAAATCTGGCCTCAGACACTTAGTAGCTGTGTGACCCTGGGCAAGTCACTTAAATTCCATTTGCCTCAGTTTCCTCATCTGTAAAACGAACTGGAGAAGGAAATGGCAAGGCATTCTAGTATCTTTGCTAGAAAACCCCAGGTG